CATTTGCAACCTCCCCTGCCAGCTTTCCCATTGACTTTCCAGGGGAGCAGGCAGAAAAGACTGCAAATGGTGATCACATGATTGCAGGACACTTGGCAACTGGTTGCAAATGCGAGTCAGTTGCCAAGTGCCCGAAATGTGGCCACGTGACTGGGGGGGAGGGGGTATGGTGCAACATTTTATGACAGCCAGAAGTGCCTTATGGGCCATAAATCACCCTTTCCAAGGCTGTTGTAAGTTTGAACCATCTTTAAATGAATGGTCATTAAGTGAGGACTACTTGTATATTTTATTATTTTAAAATATTTTAAATATTATTATTTATTACGTTTTTGTTCCCTGTTGTGTTTAATGTGTTGTTAGCTGCCCAGAGTTGCATTTATGACATGGGTGGCCATATAAATAAATTTACTAAATTAAACAAAATTAATTAAATAAATAAACAAATCTTTACTCTATTGATCTAGGCTATAAGAACAGAATCTTGAAAGCCTAATAGAGTTTCTCTTTCCTTCCCTCTTACACCCAAGAACATCAAGGTGGGCCAAACTTAAGTTTCTTTGGCACCCCTTCCTGTCTTTCTGGGCTAAGCTGATATTTGTGTAACAGCTGCCATATACTTTCTTCAAGGTTATCTCTGAAAACTTCCAGTAATGGAGCATCACCAACTCCAACAAGCCAGCTGTTCCACTGCTTAATAGTTCTCTCAGTCATAAAATTCCTCCTTATTTCAACTTTGAATCTCCCTCTATAAATCTTCCACTCATTGGTTCTTGTCCTACCCTCATATGCTCTTGAGAATAAAACCACACCCTTTTCCTTATGACAGCCTTCAAACATTCATATCTGGTCTCAACCTTATCATCTTAAGCTAAGCATACCCAGTTTTTTAAACTGTTATTCATGGGATTTAGATGCCAACCTCCTCACCATCTTTGTTTCTCTTCTCTGCACTGTTTCCAGTCCCTCAGGATCCTATTATTATTATGGTTGGCCTTTCTTGCAGATATTCCAATGCACCATTG